ATTGTGTAAAAGGACGACGGTTCTCTTCCGCACCGGGGAGTGGTGAAAAGAGTGTTTTGTACAGGCTTCTCCGCCTTGCTGTGGGTGCTAAAGGAGAGTCACTTTGTGGTATTAGTGCAATACTCAGAGGGTGCCTCTGAGGAGTGGATGTAGGTCTGGTTATAGACCGAACCACTATAAATCTGGTGTCATTTACTTTATTGCTTTTACGTTTCCGCATTTTAAATTTCAGTTTTAACAACTCTGTGGTTGAAAAACATTTTTCTACAAACTTTAAAAGAAAATTTTATTTCGGTTCAACTTTATTATTAAGAGGGTTTAAAATTTTTAAAACTACCAATTCACCCCCCTCTTGGTAGCCGTGGGACATTTACTTAGGCTTAACAACCTAATTACTAGACTCAACAGGCCTCATTTGTAATCGACTGCGAATACTAGTGGATTCGTTCAAACTGGGCTAGGCCCCGTGGTTTTTCCCCCTTTTACAGGGGTTTTCCACGTAAAAATCTTGGTGTCTCATAAATGCTAGACCCTCTCTCCTTATCTGATTGCGTGCCAGATTTTCGTACAATGCTAAGACGTTAAATATGATATTTCTCTACCGCCGCGAATACTTCTGGACGCAACAAAAATAAACCTTGGTTCCTCAAAATAGTTGAGGATTATTTTGGTTCATCTGAAAGAGTTAAGGGATTATTTTGATTATTTTTTCAATTTGAAAAGTAAAACAATAAGAAAGATGTCTAAACTGAAGTCTAAAGCTATTATGATATAGACAAATTTAGGATTTTGATTAACCACTTTTGCTGATAAATATTACAACGATTTAAATCACCTAAAAATATTAGAACATTGTAGTCGTTTTAACTTCTAAAAGTCTTTTTAGTGATCAAAATTCCATCAATCTAAGAAAAGTCTGGACTTTGAATAACTACTGCTAATAAAAATCACGGTAGTTTTTTTTATGTCGAGGAACTGTCCATTGCCACACTCTACTTCGTCGAGCGCGTTTGGCGGTCCGTAAACCCCGGCCGACCTAATGGGCCACCCAGGCCACAAACTCATAGACGGCGATTTGGAGCCCCCACTTAAGGGCCGACTGCCGCTCGAGGGAATCGAACTCGGGATTGGGGCTTCCCAACCGAGCTAAGCATCAGTGGGTTCACGGTAGTTATTAATGTCATAAATAAATTTTGTTGTAGGAGGGATAAATAGGGGTGGAATAAGTCTTAGTTCTCAGGAGGGCAAGTAACAAATTTATATATAAACAAATAAAATATTTACAAAGGTGCAAAAATAATTTATTTTACACATAATTACTTTTTACAAACTTACTTGGTAGTGTTATAAAAGTTCAACATAATTGAATGAAAATAGCAGGAGACCAAGAGGCTTCCCAATTTTTGGAGGGGGCAAATTGCATGAAAAAAGGGACAGCTGGGGGCAAAAAATAAAATTCAAAGGGTTCATATTACAAATAACCCATACTATACTAAGAGTTTTAATTTTTTTAGAGGGGCAATTGCCCCCCTCTCCACTACACAGTTCCGCCCCTAGAGGTAAATAGTGCAGCTTTGATCTCCTTTCATTTCATCCTCCGGGCACCCTACTCGGTCAAACTTGGCTCGATACCTTGATTGTAAAGCAACTATATACGACGGGAGAATCATTGAGTTTACTCCCTTCGTCAAATAGATAAAAACAATCAACTAGGATTTGTTTGACTTTCGTTTGGGATAACTTTTTTACTACTGTTAATTACATTTGGGACGGCTTTCTTCTAAAAACATTTTTAAAGATAAATTTTTTATTAAAAAGCTGCTTTTTGAAAGAAATTTACAGCTGTGCTGAAGAAGTAGATAGCGAACTTCATTAAATTTTACGTCCAAAGCTGACAAAAGTTGAGCAAATTTAACATAGAACAGTTATAATAATTAAGTATTGAAACAGTATGTGATCAAATAAATTGGAAGCTTCCTCTCTTAAATTCTTCATACTTTATTTCTAATATATAAAATGATAGTTTTAATCCTTTCAGATGAGATAGTTCCCCTTTTACAGATCTGAGCTAAGCATACAGACTGTTATATATGCAGACAAACACCCGCTTGGAAGCTTTCAACGAGCTTTTGGACGCCAAGAAGTCATTTTTATGGCCGTTTTATTATTATTATTATTATTTTGCTTTTTATTTTTTTCATTTTTATGGCCGTTGACAAGAACATAAAATTAATTTTAGGTTTCGTTTGGGGCGGCTTTCTTGTTGCTTCTTTAAGCATTTTTTTAGTACAAAAATTCTAATTTTTATGATAAAAAATTGTTTTGAAAAGCAATAAAAAAGACATCCCAAACAAAGGCTTAGCTGGTATGGTTGGCTATGATAGATCAAGATTATTGCTTGGGAAAGTTTTGTTATTGCTTTCTAAAGGAGTTTTTTAGTAAAAAAAATTTTTGAACAAATAATTTTTTACTAAAAAGTTGTTTTAAAAAGCAGTAAAAAAGCTATTCTAAATGAAGCTTATATTCGCACAAAATAAAATTTTAATTATATTTCTGAGTTTAATTAAATAGGACTCTGCTTGAATGATCTTCTTCCAACTAATGCAATTTGTTGACGGTTCTTTCATCCCTCGTTGATTTTTTTTTTTTTTTTTTCTGGGGAAGAATAAATCAAATAAGGTACTGTTTGGTATTCTTTTCTTTAGTTTTTCTGTTCATTAAAAAAAAATTAAAACTATAAAATATATTTTTTAATAGTTTTTGTATTTTTATTAAACAATTTGATTTGCATTAATAATATAGAAAATATGAGTTTTGGTGCGCTTGTAAACTCATGTATGTTATGCTCCCTCTCTATGCTCTCTCATAATGTCTAGGAGAAGGATGTTATATTCTAGTTCTTCTATTACGGTACCAAATACAACTAATATGTCAAGGAGATGTTTCTTATATCTTTAATTATTATGCTAATCTTAAGAAGCAATAAAAAAGCCGTCCCAAATAAAATCATAAATTTATGATGCACTTTGTAAAACTCATGTATGTTATACTCCCTCTCTATGCTCTCTCATAATGTCTAGGAGAAGGGTGCTATATCTCTAGTTCTTCTATTATGGTAGTACAAAAAATAATTAATATGTCAAGGAGATGTCTCTTATATCTTTAATTATTATGTTAATTAATTAAAATTAATGAATCTTAGGCTCATTTAATTAAATACTTATAAACCTTAACACATAACCACCCACTTAATTAAAGATCCATATAACCAAAACTTTAGATCATCATCAAAACCTAACTAGTCCTAATCAAACCCAAAGCTTAAATCTTATATAAAGCCAAATTAGCAACTCTAAGCCTTTGGTAGATACTTGTCTCCACCTCTAAATATCATGCCATATATATTGGTATACACCCCAAGGCACCATATACCATCCAAAGCTATAATAAAGGGGGAAAGAAGAGGGACATCAAGTCCGAGTTAGTCATAAAACCTTCAATCTTGAGTGTTTGCAGGGAGCTTGTGTAGACCTCCAAGAAGTAAAAACAAAGAAAGAAAGAGTATATTTATGGCTTAATTACTTCTCTCTCAATCTTTCGCAAGTAAGGATCTCACCTATACACACCCCACTCCTTTAGAGTCCATTAGATTTTCTTCTGAAAGTTTTAGGCTACGACTGCTAGCTAGGTTAGTTCAATCCTAAGAAAATTCATAAAGCCACCATAAATTTAGAAAGACTTTATACAAAGAACTTCAAAAGCCCTGTAAAAAGTGGCACAAGATTTTACTGTGCAAGAGACCATTGGAATTGTAAAATTGAAGAAGTGTGGCACATCTAGCCTCAATATCTACCTAATAACTAATGATGTTGTTTACCTTACATGCACTCTTATACTTAATAGGGAAGCTACTATTTATAGGAGATTCAATTACTTAATTAGTCAATGACAATTAGATCTCAAATTTGAGATCCAACAACCCATAACTCTTCTTATGAATATCCTTCTAATGATCCTTGCATGTGAATCCCTTACAACATGTAGCTCTTGCATCAAACTAGACCAACCCTATAAGAACCATATATGTAGACCCAACACAGTTAGGTAAGTCATTTTAAATAAAATTTTACTGAATTATAGAGCATTAACATTCATTTTAAAATTATTAAAAATTATTAAATTTACAAAATTAAAATTGTTATTTATCTAAAATTAAACACCAATTTCTAAAAATATAAATTAATATATTATCATGGATAAATATTTTGAACTATTTTAATAAATATTCTACATTTGATTAATATTATATCTGTCTACAAACCATTTTAATAAATATTATAATCTATTTTATCATAATAAAACTATAAAATGAATATTTTAAATTTAAATTAAACATTTTTATGATTTTTTTAGTATTAAATTTTAGGTTAAATTTTGAATACATTCTTGGAATAATTTATTTTAAATAACTTACATATTCAGCATATTTTCTTATTATTTTCATGCATTTAAGAGTTTTTCATGCATTATAAAAATTAAATGGAATATTTTGTGAAATATAATTTGCTTGTAACATACTAAATATCGAAAATTATATTTTTAATATTAAATCAATCTCTTGTTAAAAAAGTACAATTTACACTTTATCATTATAAATGTGATATATTTCATGCTTGATCTTGCATTGCATTTAAAATGCAATTATAAAAAATGACATTCGTGTGTTATTTGTTCTAAAATAAAAAGAAAAACAAATTTGACTTTAAAAATACGCATGCACCATGTGTCATGCATTCATATCATCTACATCATATCAATTATGCATTAAAAATGTTATATTCATAAGTATAATATATTTTAAGTTAGCTTTGCTATTCAATTTATTTTGATTTGGTCCACTTGTACACCATAGGATCCTTCACATTTGTGTGCAAGCACTTTCATGATGTATAGGTCTTATATGTTTGTTTGTATACATAGAATTAGGTCTATATATGTTGCATTTAGTATCATGCAATCAATATTTAAATACAATTTTATGAAATGAACTATTGTATTGTGATGTGATCAAAGCTTTGATACTATCTTACTACTAATGACATGTATTTTATGAAACATATAGGATAGCAAGTCCTATATGAATAGATGGTAAAATTTACACTTTCTATTACTTTCTATTTTTTACTTTACAACTTATTCACGTGTCATTGAGCTTAGGTTATCTACTTTGTCGGCTAAAATCCTAGAATTAGATTTTCTAAAAATTTAAATCATAAGAAATTATACGACTTATCTAACCAAGTGACTTCTTATGCTTTGACAATAAGAAATTATACAGCTAAAAAGCTTTAGAATCAGAGACTTTATCATCATTCTTTATTGCCTTGCTAGTTCTTATCACCACTTACATGGCAATTTTAATCTCACTTGGGAAGATCTCTTCATCATAAAATGGGCGAATTATAACGTCCGGTCACCGGACGTCCGGACACCTAATCCGGACTCGCCATGTCACCCGAATACACTGGATCCCGGTGTATTTTGGTGACGTGACGCGTCTGAATTGATGTCTGGACGAATCCGGACACCGGACATAATAATTTGCCCATAAAATGAGTATACAAAGATGGATTTTGCCTCATAATGAATTGTGAGGGAATGACATCATATGCCTTTTGCAAAAGACAGTAAAAGCCATTTAATATTTGCTATGTTTTTACTTTTTACTGAATAGTTACAAAAACATAGCAAAAAATAATAAAAAAGCATTAATAATTAAATATTTGTCACTATTTTAATGATTTTGTAAAGCACAGCTAATCCTCACGTTCCGGACAGAATAATTTCATCTCTGCAGGGGGAGGAGGGATCGGGCCGGTCGCCGGCGTAATGGCTGAGGAAGAGAAAGTGGTGCAATACTTTTCTAGGGATTTCGAATGGGAGGAGCTCCGAGATGAGGTCGAGCGGAACCCTAAGTTTAGCTACCATCTGTCCTCCTTCTCCCCTTCTCTTTCCTCGCCATCTCCAGTGGACGCCGACGCCGACGCCTGGAGAAACTTCCACCGCCGCCATTCCACTGGGACATTTTTTAAGGTATCGCATTGCAGTTTATCACATGTTCTATTTCATGTCGTTTCTTTATGTCTGTAAACGTTCGGTCGATTGGCGTTCGTTCCTAAAGTCCAGCTATACTAAGTTCCTGACTTAAAATTCCGTTTCTGTCAGTATAATATTATCAGAGAATCTCATGTGTGTGTGTTGGGAATGATGAGAGCAGTAGCTCAATTTATCGAAATTAGAGAAGAAATGTATTTATACTACATACACACAACGCTATGAAGAGGAAGTAAATGGGATTTTTACATACAAGAAGTCTTAAAAAAACAACAGAACCCATAACCGGGAACTGAAAGGGGTGGGGGGAAGGAGACTCCATATAGAACCGTCAGTATATGTTCAGTTAAGATTTAAATTAGGCGCAAAATCAGCTAGAGGAAGACTGGTCCAGCAATGCTAAAAAATGGCCATCCAAGTAGGGTGGCTGAACGGTAAAATCATCGTCCAAAAATGTCCACATAGATAGTGACAGTAGGCCATAAAAACCAAGTGAGTTTAGATTGCCACCAAGAACCAAAAGGAAAAAGGTCTATGGAATAAACACCATGTCAAGACCAAAAATACAAAGAGTAGGCCCAAAACTACCCGTGAATAAACTAGAGAAAACAGGAAGAAGGAGAATGAAGTCAGCTATGGAGACATCCAATATTTAAGCATTTCCCAAAAATTGGTAGGCCAATTGTTATCCATTTTTTCCTTTTTATTTTTTTTATTTTTTTTTTATTTTTTTGTAATTTGAAATTAAATTCTAGCTATCAGGTTCTTAGGTTTAATGATAGTGAATATGACTATTCTCTCCAGCCAAATAGTTTATATTAGCATGAAGTAAGCAGATAAAGCTGTATAATAATATAGTGATCATGTTAAAAATAACTAAAATCATTAATTTGCATTAAGGGCTCCTTAAGAGAAAAAATTTCCACCAATAAGGGCATTTTTAATAAGCCACATAGAGTAAGAGCAACAACAAAAAAGTGGTTAGAAAGAGTTTAATTGCTTACAGAGCAAAGAAAACATGTTATTAATGTGAAACCTTCTATCAAAAGAATTGGTATTAATGCCATCCAAATGAGTCATCCATTTCTAAACAAAATATTTCAGGGAAAGTCCTTTATTTCAAACAAATTTCGTCAATTGAAGATCCGAATGTTAGAATGAATAATATTTATGCAAGAAGTAAGAAAAGCCATCTTTCCCATTCCTTTAAAGTTGATTCACATTAAGGTCAAGTGGAATAGCCTTAAAATGTTGAAATTAATAGCTTCAATTGAGGATGATGTTCTTGGGAGGATCTAATTTCCGTTCAGAATAATAGCACTGATTTAACATTCATAGGAAAATAAAAAATGAGGATGTTATAGGAAATGTCCTTACTACTGATTAAGCTATTTGTGCAGGATTAATGAGGATTGGAAAAACTAGGTTATATTTGTCTGCGAGCAACTTGGTAATCACTTATAAAATTTCTTACAAGAGAGATATTTGTTGTTAGAAAGGCAACTAGCATGAAGCTACCCATGAATCAATGCAATAGTTGAGTGTTTTATTATATTTGGAAGCTTAAATGTTTGGAAGAAGTGTCCCTCCTCTGGGTAAATTGAGGATGAACAATATCTTAGGAGGATATGAAAAATTTAGAAGTGCAATCACGAGGACCTAGTATTTTATCCTTCCCATGTTGAACAAAGTATCTTTAATATCTTTATTAGAAAAGGGGGCAATGAGTAGATGGTTGTCTATTGTAGACAAAATAGATTCAATTGAGTAAGGAGAACTGTGTAGATGATGGTGTGATGAATAATTGTTTTAGTAGATACATATTGAGAAGTAAAAAGAATGCCTTGGGAGTATGAATCTATTTGACAAAGTTATGATTGTGTTTGTTTTTAATTTCTAATACATGAAACTAAATCATCTCAAAAAAATTTCGGCGCGGGGTATGTATTTTCTTTGACATATGGGGTCATGAAACAAATTCCTTGGATGATTTTAGCTTGTTGAAGAGATAAGAGTCCAAGGGATTAATTTCTAGAGAGAAGAGCATTCTACTCCATTCTTCCATAAAGAAAATGATACAGTCAAAGAGATTGTTTGCCTTGGAGTATGTTGAGAGTAGCCTTAACAACCTTCAACTTTTGCATAGAATAAAAATTATGCCACCACGTGCAAAAAGAACACCAATCATTCATGATAATATCCTTGAAAGTACTGCAAAGGTTGGGAAATTCTTGAAAATGTGAAAGATGAAATGAGGTTATGCACTCCTTTTCTCAATATTTGCTTTTGAGAAGAGACTAGAAAATAGGGAAATGGGATGTTAAGAGGGAGGTGATTGTGGATAAGTGGGAAGGAGATAGAAGTACAAGAGTACTTGACGGCATGCCCTCCTTTTCACATGATGATTGAAGGAAAAGTTATTTTAAGACAATGCAATTGGCTTTGGTACGAATGTGGAATGACAATTACTTCTAAAACCTAACATCTTGGGTTTTCTCTCTATTTCATTGTTATTTCTAATAGAATTAGGAAAGGGACCTAATTTAAGTTACATCTCATCAGTCATTTTTCCAATTTCTGCTCAAGCTAGGATTCTAAACTTTCTTTCACAGCTTCTCATAATAATAATTATATATTCATTTTCATGAAAAAGTTTGGGTGTTGTAGTTTTAAATTTTAAAGCGGGGTATTTTTTAATTGTCAGGAAAGGCGATACCTTTTAAAGGAATTTCCTGAACTTATTGTTTTTGATGGTTCCATCCGAGTTTTAGAAGTGGGTTGCGGGAATGGGAGCACAGCTCTCCCAATCTTAAGGTATTATTGTAGTCCTATTCATTTTTTCGTTCAAAATTTTATCTTTTTTTTCTTAATTAACTCGTATTTTACTATGGAATTTCATCGGCCTAAGTTCATCCAGGATTTTTAAATGAATTTGAAAATACAACACTAAGAACTCTGTGCCTTTTCCCATCCAATAGAACTTGAAGGAACTGCAAAAAGAGTGTATTCTCCTTGAAAATCTTAGAGCCATTAGCATAATGTATTTTTTGGTTACACACAAGTTGTGATGGATTTGCAAAAAATAATGTTTTTTTTTTTCCTTTATGCTCTATCCTCCCGTGGGCTTTGAAGATGCGTCATGATGGAAAGAGAGAAATATGGTATGCTAAGGAATAGAAGATGTATCCCTTCCTAATGAGAAACTTTGAAAGGCTGATTGAATATATGTATTCTAGAGATTTTTCTTGAATTAAATAAGGATTCAAATAAGATTTATTTATTTTAATTAAAGCTGTAGAGATTTCCAGTAAGAGCAAGCCTTTATATTTAAAAAAAATATCGATTAAGGAACTTTGTTTATGTTTACCATACGGGCGTATAATTCAATATTGAAAAGGTATATGTTAGAACTTATCTAAAAAATTAAGGGATATAAGACTTATAAGTAATGAACAGGGTCAATAAGTCTTTGAGGCTCAAGGAATAGGCAATCTTAACATAAGTTCACAAAGGTCAATGGGACTTTAAAGCTTAAGATGGATGTCAAACAAGTACCCTAAAGACCTAAGCACGCCTTTCTTTGGTGTGTTGGGATCGAAGACCACTGCCGCAGTGTCGTATGACACCGACCATGCACGTTTTTCTCCAGCGTGTTGTGAAGGCTTAGACTTCCCAAATTTTTCCTAAACGATGGAGACATTGGGAGCTTGCTGAAATTTCCAGTGAACAGAGGACCTAACTTGAACAAAAATATAGGGGCCTTGACTTAAATGAACTACATGGGAACAAAACCCAATTCAAACAACAGGGAATCAGATATTAAACTAACAAACGCATAATGAAATTGAAAATATAAAATGCTAAATAATGATTCAAAGCACTCAAATGAACATCAATAAGCAACTATAAATAATGACTCGTGGTGAATAAAATTCCCACATCCTACCCACAAGCTGCGATCAATACGAACATGGAACTTATGGTGAACAAAACTTCAATTAGCTTATGCTTGCAATCAATTATTAGTAGTAATTAAATATAGTTGCAGGTGAATGCACAAAAATATCCCAACAAGTGCTGCAGGTCATATATGAATAACAATGATTGATGTGTGACATTTGTATCAACCTTGCAAGCATGTGTATCAAATAACAATGCACATAATGAAATATTCATGAATGGTAGCAAGAGATGTGCAGTGATACGCTCAAGAGAAAACCGTGGAGAATGTGCAATGAGAATGCAACAACGCTATGCAATCAACATCAAAATACAAACAAATACATTGAACCCCTGCAAGTAATGAAGGGCAATGCATGATGAATATGATGAACTCCTGCAAATGGTGACAACCAATGTCCAATAAACATAAAGAGCTCTTCAGAAGCACATATAAGAGGGTTACAACGAATGCGACATTCTATCTACGACAAAGACAACAAACTCATAATGCATGCAAACACTACGACAATGATAGGAGATTTGTCGTATGCGCAAAGATATGCCTATGACTGTTAATCGGCAATAGACAACAAATGCCATGACATCCTTGCAATCAATGCTAATTGCTTTGCAGACAAATACGATAATTCTCTAAGGACAGCGACAATTGATACAGCTCGCTTACAAGCATCTACAAGGAACCAGTGAGTGTCTGTGAGTAATAGCATACAAATTGTAAAAGTAACGAGTTTCCTACAAATACAATTAAGAGAACTATAATGCATGTGACACACTACCTATAAGTAGAGGACAACATACTTGCGATACACACGAGCTCTTACAAGCCGCTGTAGGAGACTCTTTATCTACAAGCAAATGCAAAAGAATTGTAGCAAATGTAAGTATCTACGAGCCACTGTAGGAGGTTTTCCATACACACGACACGCTGTCTACATGCAAAAGCAGCGAGCTTGTAATAAATGCAAGCCCCTACGAGTACTGCAGGAGATTTATTAGTGTATGTCAATCTACCTGCATAATGCAACGAGCGACCCATTATACAACACTACAATTTACTTGTAAGCAAAAGCATGAAATTCATAGTAAAAACTGCGGGCCACTGGTAAACTGAAGCATTATACTTATGATGCCATACTGTCACACCAGATAAATCAGTCCGCTTACAAACAACAGGTGGAAGACTCTTGATGTGACATGCAGCTCTCTTGCAGAATGAAGTACACCCGCAGGTTGAATATTGTGATAGGAAATACTTGGTTTCAAGTAGTTCCTAACCAAAACTGAAGTAGAACAAGGAGAAAACTGCTGTCCACAACAGTTTAACAGCAGGAAACACAAAAAATCTGAGAGAAAACACAGTAGAACTCGTAGGGAAACAAAGCAAACACTTTTATTTCAATAGAAGATGAAAAGCACTTGCAAGATACAACTTTCCTTCAATTTGAGAGGAAGGAAAAACTCTCCAACGATCTCCGGCAAAGCCAAGAGTCCAAGAGCAACAAACCCTAGATCTCAAAATAATTCAAATTCAAGATAATCCCCCCTTTTCCTCCTAACCTCCTAATTAACCATAAAGGAGTTTTACAAAATGTCTAAACAGCCCTTTGCATTGAAAATTTCCCTCCCAAAACTCCTCCTTGGCCCCCGTCGGTTTTGCTTGCGCCGCTCGGATCCGCCCGCCCCGTGCAGTTTCGCCTCGAGTAGGTGAGGACCGGTCCGGGTTGGACCGGTCCAGCCGGCCCCTCCTAGGCCGGCCTAACAGTACTCCCCTCCCAAAAACTCACCTTGTCCTCAAGGTGAAAGGAGGGGAATTGCTCTTTCACTCTTTCAAATGGTTCCCAAGTCGCCTCGAAATCAGGAAGGTCCTTCCATTGAATCAACACTTCCTTGTTTCCTTCTTGATCTGATCTTACCCCCATAATTTCCAGGGGTTCTAGCATCACTTCCCAATCCTCAGTCATTGTTGCTGGTAACTCGGTGCTAACTGTATGCTCCCCCAAAGCTCTCCTCAGCTGTGACACATGGAACACTGGGTGTATAGTAGCGGAGGAGGGTAACTGCAGACGATACGCTACTGCTCCAATCTTCCCCAAGATCTCATAGGGGCCAAAGTATCTTGGGGCCAGTTTCTCGTTCCTCCTGCTAGCCACTGATTTCTGCCTGTAGGGCCTCAGCTTCAAGAACACTTTCTCCGCCACCTCATAGTGTATGTCTCTTCTGTGCGTATCCGCTCGCTTCTTCATTAATTGTTGGGCCCTCTCCAGATGTTTCTTTAAATCTTCCAACACTCGGTCCCTCTCCTCTAAGTACTGTTTGACTGAAGAGACATGTGTGTTTCCCTTCCCATAATGTATAGTAGCTATGATACCAATTTGATAGGAAATACTTGGTTTCAAGTAGTTCCTAACCAAAACTGAAGTAGAACCAGGAGAAAACTGTTGTCCACATCAGTTTAACAGCAGGAAACACATAAAATCTGAGAGAAAACGCAGTAGAACTCGTAGGGAAACGAAGAAAACACTTTTATTTCAATAGAAGATGAAAAGCACTTGCAAGATACAACTTTCCTTCAATTCGAGAGGAAGCAAAAACTCTCCAACGATCTCCGGCAAAGCCAAGAGCCCAAGAGCAACAAACCCTAGATCTCAAAATAATTCAAATTCAAGATAATCCCCCCTTTTCCTCTTAACCTCCTAATTAACCATAAAGGAGTTTTACAAAATGTCTAAACAGCCCATCGCATTCAAAATTTCCTTCCCAAAACTCCTCCTTGGCCCCCGTCGGTTTTGCTTGCGCCGCTTGGATCCGCCCGCCCCGTGCGGTTTCGCTTCGAGTAGGTGAGGATAGGTTCGGGTTGGACCGGTCCAGCCGGCCCCTCCTGGGCCGACCTAACATATTGAAGAAGATGACAATATACAGAAGATGAAGTGAACTAAACTGTATTGCCGATGTGCGACAAATGAAGTCCAACGCATTGTTAAATAATGTCACCGGATCTGCAACATTTATATAATCCGAAAAAAGATGTTTACCAATTCTCAAATGAAAACCAGTGCATTTCTCAATGATAGTCATTTGCACAGCTGATCATTGCAAAAACATCCTCCCTAATGCATCAGAATGCATACCGAAACATTCGTAGCATGTATATATTTACAATATGCAGAAGCATCATGCAAATATATCACCCGATATGTAAAATGCAACACGCTTTGGTGACATATTGCATTAACATGTAAAATGTATCATGCACATGTACACTGCAACATATAAAATGTATTACACAAGTACACTGCATAAGGTGTAAAATATACTGTGTAGCAACGACTCGCTATGTTGACATGCAAACATATCATGCACTATACGAAAGCATTGTATCATTATGCAAACATGTTATGCATGCAAATCATCTACTATTGCATCAAGCTAACATGCAACATGTCAAACATCAAGCAATATGCAAATGCAGTATTAACATACACATAACATGCAAAAATGTTGTGTAGATCAGCTGCATTGCATACATACAACTACTATACAAATGCATCTTTTAACCTACATGTAAAATTATATACTTTTATTGACCCCAACAAGCGTGTTGTATACACACACATGGCTTATGAGGATGTTGTGCGGGTCATGAAATGATTATAAATTGGAGCTCGATCCTTCTACGTTAATATATGGGAAATCAACACGGCTCGAACCATTAAACAAATATACAGTCACAACACGGACAAGTATATTTATTTTATACGTTTATATTAAGCCTTTAATGTCTATAATAAGAAAAATTCATTAATAAATTCATAAAGCTGACAACGAACCCGATCATCTGTCGGCGAGTAGAAAGAGTTGACAAGGTTCAATTGATAAAGTATAATTGCCCATAAATATCCCGATGATGGCCGTGTTGATAGAAAATCTCGGCCGGAGGGGATCACAAACATTTAAAATGCCTCCCAAATTCCCATAAAAATTTCAATACACGAAAAAGTCATCAAAATCTAAAATATTTAAAATTAAAAGAAAAGCTCTAAAATACTTAAAGCAAAATCCATCCATCCTCCACAATTGTTTGCTGAGATGGAGAGATTAGAAAATCACTTCAGCTCACAAAGAGTGAATGCCGGGTCGAGAATATCACTAGGATTCATTCTCAATCCGTCTCTTGCTAGTAAGGACGTGATACGTGTCCTCTAACTAGTGATTTTGCTGTCAAATGACATCACTGGTAAGTAGTTATCACTGGGTCCCTCTGACCTGGTGGTTTTGTCGCCAAATGACACCATTAAATTACGGTCATGATCAGAATTTGCAGGTTTTCCAATGACATTACATCCTTAAGTAATGAATCAATAGGATATGATCGATAGGGCACAAAACCCTTTGTTAGCTAAGGTGGATTCAAATTTTTATCTCCTTAGACAAATATTCATCACAGGTCTACAAGGTACTCTTGGACTAAGTAACCTATGGCTGTCGACAAGGATCGTTCTATCCGGTTGGGTCGACTACCTCCTCTGACTAAGTAGACTAGGGATTATGATGACTCGAGATGACAGAACCATGAATCTTGATCGGGTCTATCATCATTCCCCCCACCATTCATTTTAAGTGTAATGTGGTGAATTTCTAATTTTAAATATTAAATTCTCAAATACCAAATCATGTTGCTACTATACGTCGGATACTATGTATATGTTTGACGACTAGCCTTAATGGAAAGTTCTTTCTCTATCGGGAGGGGTAATTAACTATAGGGGCTTGCACCTATAGGAAGCCTAAACTCATATCATAAAGTCATTGCAAAATGAGGGTGAAATCTCTAGGTAATGTCTTATTCAAAATCCTACCTGCCTTCTGAAAAATTGTCTCAGAACTTACTCGTTAAAACTCTCCTCTACGACCCAAAAAAAGAAGAAAAAGGGCCGCGGAGAGGCAGTGGCGTGAATTTTGGAGCCTGCACCTGAGTTTTGATTTAAATTTTTGGTGCTTATTACTTTATTTGTGAGTTACCTAGAGGATCACGGATTACAACTTAGTTTTTGGCATTGCTGAATGTGGTACATAGGACTTGGAAATTGGAATTGATCCAACTGTTGATCTGACAACCTCGCCCTATAAGCAAGATGTCTAATTTATTATGATTATTGTATGAATTGATATAACTTTCAAAGTTATTTACTTTTCAATTTATTTTGTTTTGTCTGGTTAAGAGGCAAAAACTATTTTTTAAAGCAAACTGACATACTTGAGACAAGCCTGTGTTGAATAGGAATTGGACATGTGATCCCATCCAAATGTTTGTATTGATTTATATTTATATTTCTTTTTATGGACATGTAACCCAATCACATCTTGACTCAATTAACAATAAGTGGCTATTTTTCATTCTATGATTGGGTAATTGACCATCTATGGCATTTTGATATAAATTTTTGCTCAACCACTGGTTAAAGATGGTGGCTATGAAGGTCAAAAGCTTTAGAAAAGAAAGTATTTAGCAACTTGTTACCTAAGAATACTTAATTAATATAAAAATATTAACTCTATCATGTTTATTGATGTAATCGGATCCTATCCCTTAGTGTAATTGGTCTACTCCTGATGTTGCCACCCATCTCCTAGAGTCCTACTGTGGACTCATTTTGATGCAGCCGATCCATGTATTGCACCCAACAGAGATGATAGAAGTAGTCTCTATCTTGGTCCAACTGACCTCCGATGGTGTAGGCAAGCCTTTCTTGGTGTAGGGATGGTTAATTTTGGCTTAAATTTTCCATCTTTCTTTAGCAGTCCAGCCTCTGAGATAGTTTGGTAGGATAATCCCAAATAAATTTCAGACCTAGATTTTAAACTTTATTGGACTTAAAGTAGAAGCGACCATATTTTACATGCCATGTGTTTCTACAAATAGGTCTGCCGATCAACTCATAGTCTTTGTAAATTTCTAAAATAATTATCCTAGCAGGGTTGAAGAACTTGCACACTGAACTATTCATCCCCCGTTTGCACAGAAATAACAGGCACATTATCCACATCATCGGTTCTTAGCCAGAAATGACAAGCAGGATGCCTTGTTAGATAAAAATGGACATATATTATGAAGATGTCAAACATGATCATCTACTGTTAACGTAATGGCTGATGTTGCGATCAAGCCAACCAGCTTATATTGTTAATGCATATAACAGACGAAGCGCAATAATGAACAAGGCTTAGCAACGGAAACTGGATAACAAGTAGAAAGTCAACAGAATTGGCCCTAGGCAATTGTGGTTTTCAGGTTCAACCACCACCCCGGATGTGCATTTGTGTTGTATTTGCATATCAATATTAAGAACTCATTTCTGACAAAAGTTTTGATCCAAGATCTTTTGGATAATTCTAAAAGTAGGTCTTGTGCTTTAACTTGTATTCAATGCTGCTTGGCCTAAGATGAAGTACGAAGAGTTGATTAGGCATGTGTGGTGGTTGAATCTATTGATAGTTGGCAACCTAAATGATACGGAGCATTTTAGTTGTAGCATTCTTTAGGAGTAGTTTATCTAAGTTTGTTACAAGTTTGTTACTAGTTTTTAGAATGTTCTTAAAAATGCTCCTTAGGACTAGCTTATTACAAGTTTCTAGAAGATTCTTATTAGCCTATAAATAGGCAAAGTATTGTAGTACGAAGATATTGATGAAAATATATTCTCTTTGAAGCTTTTTGAAGCTTTGTGTTTGTGATTGTTCCCTGGATTGGGAATTCCCTTCAAGCAGGTCCGATTCTTCCGACGATCACCACATCACTAGATATACATTTAATGTTTTAAGTTTTTGCTTATTATTTAACTTTTGAATTGCTCAAACTTATGTCTCTTTGCCAACATATTCACAATCCTATGACTCGATTGCTTGGCTGAATTAACTAAACATGATCTATCTTTTGGTTCTCATTTCAAGATAACAACATCGATGACAAGAAAACTTTCCTTGGACTTGGATGAAAGTCAACAATGGGATGTGAGATTTTGGTCAACAAAGGTATGGACACACAGGGTAATTTTTTATCCTGATCAGAGGACGTAAGGTCTTTGTAAGATGGCTTCCCATTTGAGAGTCTCTTATGAGCTATTTTCACATCCCTGCTCATGTGGTTGTTGTAAGATCTAACGAGGAGTAGAGGGATATGTCCCATAACCTATGTTGCTGCAGCATGAGGTCGTGGGATTCATTGTGTGGTCTTGTTCTTTAGTTTGACTTGTTTGGTGGGGTGAGGCAAGTTATATACATGGGCATAAGTCACGAGAGGTGCAGGGCATGTGCAAGTCGGCTCCAGCAAAGTTGACGACGCAGCTTCTCTTAAGTGGGCAATGGGTGTCGCAAGCTGACATCATGGTGGGCTATGCGAATCAAATAGAATTAAAGAAACTAAAATCAACTTCCTCAAGTCATTTATTACCTCAACACTTCCATTGAGTATAAACATGCAGATCTCCATGAAGAAAATAATTGTTGAATCCAATCAGGTTTGATTGATTGTTTGTATGATGTGGGGAAGGCATTTAGTAGGGAGTGCTTTGTTACAGTGGGTGCTACCTCTAATGTCTACATGCATTGCTGCAGCAAGTGCTGCTTTGCTCTGCAACATGCTTGGTCAAACCCAACTGGCAAAGCTGGTGAATCTTAAACTCACATTTTCAAACATTCTTGCTTGTGCTATAAAATAACTTGATGAACCATTTGCAGTTCCTAGAGTAAAATCTTCAGTATTCTCCCAATTAACTATGCCGTTCAAGATGAACAACCAAACTCTAGTTATTTCAATCAAATTCTGTTTAACAACTTTTGTAGTTGAACACGCTTAAGTTCTTGAACTTGTTGGAAGAGACAATCCGAGTTTTGTTTTTCTGATACTGGCAAACTTCGGGACATGCATTGTAAGTTCTTGAACTTGTTGGAAGATATAATCAGACTTCTGCTTTTCCTGATACTGGCCAGTACTCCGCAGAGCCTAGATCGTTGGGATCTTCATGCACTGTTCCATCCTTTCACTCCATCTCCTTCTTGCTCCTGTAGTACCTCAAGCCCCACAGTTTGACTCCATTAAATTTTTGAAAAATGGATTAATGTACTTTATTGTGCATAGGGATACTCTTTCCACCCATATTCATATGTTGTTGATTTAGAGGGTTTTTATCTGCTCATTTTTCTAGTCAATCTGGCTTTTATTCATACAATTCATCGATTCATTGAGGTCTATTTCCTGTATGTTAAGTTTATACCTATTACGGGCTATTGTTTCTAAGATAACTTCCATTATTTCAGAGCAAAACAGAATATCATTGTCTATGCTTGTGACTGCAGTCAAGACGCCCTTGATAAAACAGTAGAAATGATTGCTACTTCCAACTTCCCTTCAATCAGTCATCGATTTTATCCATTTCTCCATGATTTTTCTGCTAATAGATTCCCAAATTGGTTTCTATGCTCTGCTTGTAAAAAGTGTCCACATAAAAAAGATTTCATCTTTACGCCAGGTGATTGCTCTTTTTCATTTTTGGTGCCTTGATCTATATCTTTATTTTATATTTCCATTGCTTGTCATGATCTGCAATCTCTTTTATCTTTGATTTAGATGCAAATGGAGAAGGCTTGATTAGAATAAACGAGCCTGCCGCATGCTGCATTGGTGGAATTGACTATGTAACCCTAGTGAGTATTATCTTGTCAATTTTGTGAAATTTATTTCAAGGCGAATATGCACATTTTAAGTTTTACGAAAAGCCATGCTTTGTATTTTTTGAATTGCATTTGATGTCACATAGCATATTCTTTATATTTTATAATATTCGCTTCAAATTCTTAAAAAGGTTTGTCTTAATTGTACTTTTTGACTTGGAAGATATTTGCTCCTTAATTTTAAGTCAATGTTGAGAAATTGACAACAATACCAAATTCGCTTTTATTAGAAATGAAAACAATGAAGCGTTTAATTAAAGTTCATCTTGCTGGAGCATATTAATGTTGATGATAATGATGACAATTGATGTTAATGGACTACAAAAGCTTAATAGGTGGGGTTTTTATTAATTATTTTTGGTAAGATATGATTGTGGGCTTTGAAAATTTGCGCCCAAGCCTCTCCACAACCCCTTTCTTTTTTTGGTCGTCAAGGAAAGTTTTAACGTTTAAGTTTCGAGGCAAATTTTTCAGAAGGCAAATTGGGTTTTGAATAAGGAATTACCCAGAGATTTTGTCTTCATTTTGTGAGGACTTTATGATCCGAGTTCAAGTTTCCTATATGTGCAAGCTTCTATAGTTAATTACCCCTCCCGATAGCGAGAGAGAACTTTTCGATTATGGCCAGTCGTCAAACAAATATGTAGTATATGGCATATAGTCGTAGTATGATTTGGTATTTAAAAATTTATTATTTAAAATTAGAAATTCACCACCCTGCACTTAAAATGGATGGTTGGGGGAATGATGATAGATCCGATCAAGATTCCATAGTTCCATTGTCCCAGGTCATCATGGTCCCTAGTCTACTTAGTCAGAGGAGGTAGTCGACCCAACCTGATCGAATGATCCTTGTCGGTAGTCATGCATTGTTTTGTCCAAGAGTACCTTGTAGACTTGGGGTGACTGCTTATCTAAGGGGACAAATTTCAATCCACCTTAGCTAGCAGAGAGCTTTGTGATATATCAATTATATCATATTGATTTATTATTCAAAGATTTAGCGCCGTTGGGGAACATACGGGCTTTGACCATAATCATAATTTAATAGTGCCATGTGGCGGCAAAATCACCCAGTTAGAGGGACCCATTCATAACCACTTACCTATAGTGCCCTTTGGCGGCAAAATCATCAGTTAGAGGGCACGTGACACATCTGTACTGGTAAGAGATGGTTTGAAAATGAATTATAATGATATTCTCGACCCGACATTTGCTCTTTTTGTGAACTGAAGAAAGATGATCGGTTTGAATCTTGTCGACTGTGTCTACTTGCTGACAGAGGATCGGATTCATTGTCAAATATTTTTATTAATGAATATTTCTTGTAATAGACTTTGAAGGCCTAATATGAATGTATAAAATAAATATTCTGGTCTGTGCTATGACTTTGTATTTGTTTGACAGTTTGAGCTGTGTCGACTCTTATCTATTCACATAGAAGGATCGGGCTCAATCTTAAGTTCATTTTTTTGACCCGCACAATATCCTCAGACGTCACATGTGTGTAAATATCATGCTCGTCGGGGCCCATGCGAGTATATGCTTTTGTTGATATCTTGCAAGATGTATTTATGTGGTGGTTATATGTATACAGTGGAATGGGTTTATACAACATATTCGTATGTAAGCATGTATGATGCATTTTGCATTTGCACACTATTTAGTTACATTGATATTTTGCATATTGCATGGTGGCTTAATACAATAGCATGTGATATGTATAATATGTTCATACATTGCTTGCTTGCTTGCACAATACATTTACATGATAATTCAAATTTTCATATAGTCTGTGATGTTTTCGCATATCGGTGTAGCGCCTCACCGCTGCATAATGTATTTTGCATGCTAAATAATATGCTTGCATAATGCGTTCTGCACACCGTAATGTGTAAAATGCACAATACATTTTTGTAGGCCGCAATGTATATATGCATAATGTGATTGTATATTAATGTAGTACACCTCCACAGTGGCGTACTTTGTATATTGAGTGATGTATTTGCATGATGCGCCCAACATATTGTAAATACATGCATGTTAAGAATGTGTCAACATGCTTTTGATGTATGAGGGGGTGGTCTTGCAATAATCACCTATGGAAATGATTGTTGTTGAGAAATTCGCTGGATTTCATTTGGGAATTTGTTAACGCCTTATGTTTGCTGGTGCGCATGTTGCGGATCCAGTTGCATGATCTAACAGCACGTTAAGCTTTATTTATCGTGCATTTGCAGTGTTGTTTAGCTCATTTTGTCTTCTACAAGCTGTCACTTTCTTCAATATTCAACCTGCAGGAGTATATTTCTCCGGCAAATATGTTGTGCGGTGCTTCAGGGGCTTCCTACCTGTCGCTTGCAAGTAAGCTGATATCTGGTGTGACAGTTTGGCTCTGCAAGTTTAATGCCTCAATTTATCAGTGGCATATAGTTTTTACTACGAATTTCCTGCTTCTGCTTACAAGTGAATTATAACGTTGCGTTACAGGTCGCTTGTTGCCTCTTGCGAGCGAGCTATTGTGCATTGCAAGTTTTGTTAGATTTGTTCTTTGTTAGTGTGTTGTCAATGAACATTTAAAAGTTGTCCACTGTTGCATGTAAGTGGACTGCATTTAACGAATATTTTACTTGTAGGCGGGTTGTAGCGTTGCGGTATGGGTCACTCGTTGCTTCTTGCAGGCGAGATCTCGTGCACTGTAAGCTTTGTTGAATATGTTTATAGATCATTAGTGGATATCCAGAGGTCGCTAGCCGTCGTATGCGGACCGCTACATACATGAAGAATTTTTTATAGTGGCTCATAGATGCTTGTATCTATCACAGGCTAGCTGCTTTTGTCTACAGACAGTGTGTTGTACTTGTTGCGATCTCCTCATTTATGCCTATAGGGGATTTATCATATTTGTAATACATCCACTGCATTGCTTGTAAACAGGACCACTATATGCATTATGAGGCTTCTACCGTCCCATTCAGGCAAGCTACAAGGAATCTAGATCTTATAATGCTGCTTACAGGCATTTGCATTTACTACAACTCTTCTTTATTTGCTCATAGATAGCAGGTTGTGTACATGATGGGTCTTATACAACAGTTCATGGTTGCTCGTATTCATTACAGGTTTGTTGTGCTTGCAGCACATCTATCATTGCTTCTTGTTGGTGTTTGTAGGGAGCATTATTGTTTGCAAGTGAATTTGTGTGTTCATCTGTAAGTTGATGTTGACTATAATTAAAATTAAATTTAATGTGTTATTTATTTAATTGCATGTTAAGTACTAATTACTTATTACTTATTAATTTTAATTTTAATTATAGTCAACAAGTTATAGAGATAAATAATTTAATTAGAAATTAGCTTAATTGTTAAATAATATAATTACTAATTATAATATTATTTATTAAATTACTTATGTGTTAATTAAATAAGTATTTGATATCTAATTATGTTAATAATTATCTAATTAATTAGTTAATTTTTTAATTACTAATTGTTTAACTAATATCATACTAATGATTTAATTAATTTTAAAGTGTTCTTTAATCAGTTTAATTATTAATTATATTGCTAATTATCTCATGAATCTAGGGTTTGATTTTCATCTTCTTCATTATACATTTTCCTCGCCATTTCTTTGTGCTTGCTTCGGCCTCGTGTGCTTCACGTGAAGTGCAGTTTGACGTGTTGAAGTAGTGTGTTGAAAGAGTTGCTAAATAAGCTGCTTAGCCTCCTTTGACGACGTCATATCGGAAGTCACGACGGGTGCTGCTGCGAAGGTAACCATTTTTTTCGCTTTTGCATGCTTCTTCGGCCAAATCTCGTAAATCCATCAAACCACAGGATTTAGTAAATCCATAATTTAAGCCAAATCTAGTGAAGCTGCTGTTCACTCACACTGCACTGCATTACTTAGGAGTCCTGTGTTGCTGGGGTTTTGACGCTACTGGAGGGTTTGAACAATTCACTTGTGTATTATGAAAAGCTTATGCAATTTTTTTTCTATTATACCCCCGCTGTGCGTTCAGTAGATCCAAATTTACCGTTAAAAGTTACAATATGACCAAATATGTACCATTTTAAGAAGTCGAAGGACCAAATTGATCCATCAAAAGCGTTGATGACTATTTTAGTCTCTCATAAAGAGTTGAGGGACCATATATATATATATATATATAGATGTTCCCTCTCATAAAATTTGGCATTCTTGTAACTAAAATTTCCTTATCATCGAATTTTCATCTTCGCTTCGCACGTGCATGTGAGTTTTGTTGTCACTCTCATGTGTTGCATCACCCTTGTTGCATGTTGTTTTGCCGTACTTAATTGAATCAATTCTAATGAAACCTTTCTCGACAGCCTCAACTCCATAGACGCATCATCCATTATGAGGAATGGTTGACATTTGAATACTCTGGTGTTAGAGCTACATTTTGAGTTGGAAGTGTGTGACATTGCATTGGTTATTTGTCGTTTTTGTCATACCCCTCAACTTGACTTATGGAACAAGTATAAAACCTCAACTCGATAGATGCATCATCCATTATGAGGAATGGTTGACATTTGAATACTCTGGTGTTAGAGCTACATTTTGAGTTGGAAGTGTGCGACATTGCATTGGTCATTTGTCGTTTTTGTCATACCCCTCAACTCGACTTATGGAACAAGTATTAATTCAACAAAAGCATGACTTAGTTATGCAACAAATTCATAATTTTGAGTCCAAAAAATAAGAAAGTAGATCCATTGCACCCTAGAGAGTCGAACAAGGTGTTTAAATCAATAAATGTTACATTATATGATGTTATTAGTATGCAATAGGTAACATTGTTACTCTTTAGGTCACATTGTGAGACGAACTAATAAGAAGATAAACAAACATTGCACCCAAGATAACCCAACATGAAGTTCAAATCAATAAATGCTTACATTATATGAACTGATTAGTTTGTAGATTTCAGAACATTTGTTTTATATTTGTAAAGTCTTTTTTTCTTAGGAAAGTAGTATTTATTTTATTTTTCCCTTATCTTGCATTATTAGTAGGTTTGCAGATGATTAGTTGGCTTATTATACTTTTCATTTAAATCGACATCTATGATACACCGAGACTCCTTAAAGAGGTTTGCATTTTCCTACGTTTATTGGACATACACGGATTTGACATTTTTCATATGTGTATCGAACACATTGAAGATGTATCCGATTAAAAATATTAAAAATGAATTGGACATGTATTTTCGACTTACATGTCTTAATTATTTTATGATTTTTTTAAAAATAGAATTTCTTGTATTTTAAATTTTTATTTATTAAAAAGCAAAAATTAAAATTCTAATTTTCTCTCCACATCACAAATCAATTGCTCGTACTCGAACCCATTATTGAACATTCCTCATTTTCATTTCTCTTTGGCTTGTCGCGACCAGGGTTCCATTATTAACATCGAAATTCAACGCTGTCACAACATTAATATTTCAAAACTATCTCAACTTCAAAGTTTGACGCTGTCTTGACATTAAAGCTCGATGCAGGTAAATTCTACACCCACACTTATGCCATCGCGCCAACTTAGCATTTTATATTTGTCCAACGTCATCTCAACATCCAAGATCGAGTCTGTTTTGATATCAACGCTCAAATCCTTTTGCTTAACATCGATGCCCGACTCTTGACAACATTGTCGACTCTTCTCTTGATGCTTGACACACGATATCAACGCCTAATTCTCGACATCCTCATTTAATCATCTTAAGCGCATATTTTAGTTAAACGACTTATTATTTCTCAATTATTCTTAATATTTTGCTTATTTAATTTTTATATACTATTTTTAAGATATAAAAATTATAATTTCATGTCCAACCAGTATCCGTGTCATATATTTTCAATAATTGGTGTGTCTCGTATCCATGTCGCATTGTATCCATGTATGTGCATCATATATAGGCATATTTTGATAATTTGAACAATTATGCTAGATGATGAATATTACTTTCTGAATTCCCCCCTTTTTTTTCTTTTTCTTTACTCAAACAGCAAGTCATTCTGTTTTACATGCATGAGTGCATGGTCATACTACTTTTGACCAACCAGTAGAACAATCCTTAGTTCATATACCTTAACCATTTCATAGGAAGTGACTATTGATATATTTGTAACTTTATTTTAGTTTGACCTCACAATCTTCTGTAACTTTTGGCTCAAATCATTCCCAAATCAACTAGGCATAGAAATGACCAGACTACACATATAACTAGAACTCTAGAAGTTGATGTTGGTTGCCATAAGATGTTGGCTAATTAAGCAGTAACCTTTCAAAGTTTCTCCAGACTTAGTGATGTAGAACGGGTAGGAGCTCCAAAAATTTCAGAACAATTTCTGCTTTTGGTTTCCCAAAAAACCTGAGAGAATTCAATGATTCTTTCTAGAGAAGAAGAATCTGAAATTGTGCTCAGGTTTTGCTCCAGAAATCTGAGAGAATTCTCAGATTATTTGGTGTAGGAGATGGGGCTTGGAAGAAGAGAACTCAAAGCATCCAAAGACTTAGCCTAAGGAGAGAAGGTGGAGGTTGGAAATAACCAAGAAAGCCTTTGAATGCTTCGGCCAACAGCAGGTTGGCTTGGGAAATCTTTGCCAAAGGAATAATTAAGAAATCTGGACAGATTTCACAAGTATTTAATAGAGGGAGGGATCGGTGGCAGATGGGGTGAGGCGGTGGGATTATTTCCTAAATCCTATGTTTGGATTTAGGAAAGTAATTAGAGTTTATTCCTAAAGAAAATTTCGGCTGTTGAGGTGGGGAAATAAACTCTTTTCTTTTAAAAGGAAAGGGGACTTATTGTTAGGAAATATTTCCTAAACTAAGCCAACAGGATATGAGGCTGACGGCAGTAATGGCTGGGGAATTAGTGTGATTGCGCAGTGATTGATTATTTGGGAATTATAGATTTGGAAAGGGGAAATTTAAGATCCCAATCAAGGACAAATTGTTTGGAGTTTGATTTATTGACTTTGGAAGTATTTTGAATTTCAAATCATTTGGATTTGAATTCAAATATAATCCTAAATATATTTAACCCATATTAGGAAATAAATAAAGGAGGGGAAATCAAAAAGAAGGGAAGGGGGGGGGGGAGGTGGCCGGCGGCCAAGAGGAAGGATCGGGTGAAGGTGGCCGGCGGGTTTGGACTAGTGGCCGGCGGCTTTATGAAGGTTGGGGGGAAAATTTTTGACCATGGGGTGCAGAGAGGGAGGAAGAATATGAAAAGGACTACGTGGAGTGATAAGGAAGAAAACAAAAACCAAAGATAAAACGAAAGATAGAAGACAAGAACTGCGAGCCTCGGACTCTTCCGACGACTGACGGGTGATGCTTTGCCCTTCTCTCGAAGTAAGATCCATGGAATGCATAGATATGCTGCTGAAACATCTTCAAGTAGGGAAGAGCTTCATCTTTTTTTCACCTGGAGATTTAAATTTCTTAACAATACTTCAGAAAATAATTGAGGTTTTTGAAGATAGGTATTTATTTTCAAATTTGACCATCTTCTTTTATGTGAACGAAACCAAGTACACCTTTATGAAAACTAACAACCATTCTCTTTTCCTCCTGCTAGATATTCACTCTGTCAGCAGTACCATTTCAAAGGATGTCATATATACTCGCAGAGTTGTTGACTGTTTTAAAACCAGGGGGTCTGCTTCTGTTCAGAGATTATGGTATGGATCTTTGATTGTAGTTTAGGAACCGATCTTTGATTTAAACAGTTTTTACAGTTTGATGTCTTTTAGGTACAGATTTTCTTTTCGTACTATGATTTCTTATTTACATCTTAGGGCTGTTTGACATGACAATGCTTCGATTTCGACCAGAACAAAGAGTGGGCTTTAGGGAGTACATGCGGTCAGATGGTACTCTTTCCTATTTCTTTTCTCTGGATATTGTGAGAAACCTTTTTCTTGGCGCTGGATTCATTGAGGTAGGGTATTTATTCCTTAGAAAGCATAATTTAGATGGATTTTTGTTTATTATATGAATATATGTGCCAAACCTATCCTTTTGTGCTTTGAGTGCTCAATTGTGGCGTGAATGATATATTATCATTAAATAATGATTTAGCATACCAAATTGTACATCTGCATTATGCTTTTATAATGCAAATGTTGATTGCAGACTGAAGGGAATTAACACTTTTAAGAAAGTTGACAATTGAGGGACCTGGGAGATCTATGGAAATTTTTTGAATAAATTGAAGCAAATGCTGATGAAAATTTAATTGCATGGAAATGAAACACCTCTCTGACTGACAATATATACTTTTCAATTGAAATTATATCTTTCAAAGCACTTTGGCAGTGTTTTATTGGTATATTGTTGACCTGTGAGCTAGAGCCAAAGGAAACAGACAAAATGAAATAAAAAAAAAAAGGGCTCAAAATCATTACCTGTGGCAAAATCTCACCCAAATCGCTGCTCTGGCCGCTACAGTCTCGTCGCCCATTCCTCTGCTCTGCAAACGGCGTCGAACAGTCGCTTCGTCACGATCTCCTGCTCATCTCGATCGCGTCTTTAAAATGAGACGGAATCCCTCTCGTTTGGCCGCTCTTCACACGCGAATTCCCGAGCAAAACTCCTGTCGCTGCCTCCCATTCCCTTCCGATCAGAGAGAGAGAGAGAGGAAAGAGGGAACCGAGCTCTTACCTTGCTGTGCCGAACTCGCCTCCCAACACCGAACTCCCTCTGTCCCGTACTATATCCTTCAAAGCACTTGGGCAGTGTTTTATTGGTATATATGTTTCTCACAAGCATGGTCATAGGGTTTCAGTTAATTTTTTTGAACGCTAAGCAAAAGTTTACTGAGCAACAAATATTATAAGTTTATCATTTTTTTTTTTAATTTTGAATATCAGAACCATATCAGGTACGCAAATTAATATTCAACATGATTATTTGTTTCCTTTATTTGCATTATATTGTTTTTTATTTTAGAGAATGTAATTAAGAGTTTATCTATTGTAATATGACAGAATAAAAAATATAATCAATGTTGATTTGATTTCCTCATTTAATATAATAGGAAATGAATAACTTCCTCTTTATTTATTTTACTCGTTAACCTTCCAAAAGAAGGAATAATATAATTCTCGGGTTACATTTCAAAATAGTCTCTCGATTATTCGAATATAGACATTTTAGTCCCAAATTATAATGTTGCTCCAATTTAGTCCCTCAATCATATAAAATTGATCTAAAATTGATGTAGAACAGGGGGGGGGGTCATGTGAATTTTGAATTTTCAAATTAATTGGAAAAGGGAGGGAAGGGGTCGGCCAAAGAGAGAGGGAAGGGGATAGGGTGTTCAAGTTCAATGAATGTGGAATTTGAATTGATTCCCAATTAATTTCTGATTTACCCAATCCTTGATTGAAGGAAGGCTTTCCAAAATTAAGCTAAATGATTTAGGAAAAAATTTGAAATTTGAAATTTGTTTGAATTTGAATTCGAAAACCTACCAAAATTAGAACAACTTAGTTTAGGAAAGAATAAATTTTAGAGGGAAAGAGATTTGATTGAGAGCATTAATTGAGGGGATTTAATTAATATGTGAGGGAAAAGGAGGGCTTCCAAAGGAGGAGGGGGAGAGATGTCCACATAAGATGTATGTGGCCTTAGGCATTAAATGAGATTTGATATTAAATCTGAAATTGATTTCAGATTTAGAGGAATTAGGGGAAGGCTTCCAAAAATAGATTTGTTAATTCAGAAAGTAGTTGAAATTCAAATATCTTTGAATTCAAATTAGGAACTTCCCAAGTTAACAATAGATTAATTTAGGAAGGTAATAAAAAGTCTATTTTGAATTCAGAATTCAAAATTTGTGGAGGAGGGAAGAGGCTAGGGGTGAGGTGGTCGGCCGACTATGGAGGTGGAGGGGTTGATGTTTGATCCAAAAGAAAAGTTATTCAAAATCAAACGAAATAAAATAAAAACGGACGGTGAATGGTGGAGACTAGAGATGAGAGGATGGAGAACAAAGAAAAAAATAAAATAAAAATGATACAAACCACGAGCCCGGACTCTTCCTGCGGCTGGTGGGTACTACGTTGCCCTCCCCGAGGGACTTCAATCCACAAGCCCGAATCCATCATGCGGCTGGTGGAAACAATGTTGTCCTCCCATCGGACTTTTTCTCTCCATAACTCACATAGAGATCAAGACAAAGTCTCTAATTTTTTTTTATTAATAATCCATCATTACATTACATAAGTAAGGGCCTCTATATATAGGCCTAAGAAACTAAAACAATACACATATGCCCCTACGGCTTATATAGGACGACCCTCTTAAGTGACGGTAAAAATGGAAAATTCATAATAAAAATAAAGATTAGAAATAAAATTTAAAATAACGTGGGACGATGACGGCCGTCGATCTTCAGCTCCTCCTCGGATAGGTATGGACAGTTGGATGTCCGCATAAAAAATGGTCCTTTTGGGACTAAATTGGGATCAATTTTATAAAGCTGATGGACTAAATTGGGATCAATTTTGTATCCCAATTATAATATGAGAGACTATTTTGGATCAATTTAGTATAGTCGAGCGAGTAAATTGGAGCAACGTGATACTCTAGAATGAAATTGGCCATACACGAATAGTCTGGAGAGTATTTTGAGATTTCTCTATATAATTCTTTTATCTACTTTTTTTATGGTATCAAAACATGTTTTTTGATCCTAAATTCCTCAACTCATTGACCCAAAGGATTTTTTTATCCGTTGTTTGACTCTTATTTTGCCTTTGATATAGGATGTCTCCAACCTTCATCTCCTCTGTGTTAACTCTCATGATTGTCTTTGTTTGACAATATTTTTGTTTCTCAGTGTTGAGCCCTCTCTGTATCATGTCCTCTTGACCATATGATAGTGTCAGATTCCTTGTGGAACAATGCTGGCTTTATTGTATGAAGCTTACTATCAACTTCCTTCTTGTAACTGTCTTCAGCCAACACTCACATGCCTTGTACTTGGGCCCCCTCCTTGCCCTTTTGTTTTCACCTTCATTCTTCCTTGGCAGGCACCTCATCTCCACATCAGGTCTGGATCAATGTCACAAGCCTCATCTCCATGTTAGATCTTCTCTAGTTTATCTATCTCATGACTTGCCTTCATCGCACTCTCACGACTTGCCTTTGCCAACCTCTCAACTCATCTTTGTTATTGACCGCATCATTTGCGTCACCTTTGTTGGTTTTGTCTCTTGTCATCACAAATCACATTAAAAAATTTTGACCCTGCGACTTGCTTCTTCAACCTCAGATCACCTCTCTTATTTATCTCAACCCCTTCATATTGTCATCAAACACCAAGTTCAACAGGCGTCATAAGATTTCAGCTTCTACTCAATGGCTTCTCTTGAGTCACCGATTTGCTGCAACTACAAATTTGCCTATGCTATTCAGGTTTGATCTTCTAATCAATTGTAGTTGCTAACCTCCAACTGTCAACATACTTGCTCGCTAACTAGTTTGTTGCCCTTAATCCATCGATCTTCCATCTAATTGAGTTCCTCTTCTCTTATATGATCAAATAGGTCATTGCTACTAAAAGGCCGAACTCCACTCATTTAGGACCATGCATATTTAATAAAGGAAAATTGAACGTACTCTAAAAAATGATCATTCAATCATAAAATAACTTTTCCTTTGCCTCCACCATGTTTAGTACAGGTTTGGTGGCCTAAATCGATAAAAACTTAAACATAAAAGACAGTTAATCAAGGGTTGTAAATGATATATTTTTATGCCTCAAATCATATGATGGTTGATATCTCAATATAAGAACATGATAAATCGTACAATAAGGAACTTATTGTTATACATGTTAATTTTCATTGCCGTTTGTTTCTCAAACAAATTGATTCTTAATTCTATTGTTGTCAAACTTTGATTGCATATGTCAATAAACTCATCCTTTATCTAAACTACAATGCAAAATTTCTTCATAATCTTTGTAAATTTTAAGACTTAAAATTGAGGGGAGTGATTAGCAGTGTTAAGATGTATTTGAAATTTGTCTTCTCAAAGTTGGTCCTTAAAAAAAAAAAAGCGATCTCTTAAAGTCAGGTCATCAAGTCAAAATAATCTTTTGTTATGTTTTTCATTCCAATAAGGATAGTAAAGTTATGTTATGTCACTAGCAACTACGACATACCAATTTTGCATATTTTGATAATTGTTCTCTTTGTTATTGATGAATAAATTTATAAAAATCTTGAAGGTTTCTCATGTGAAATTTGCTAAATCTCAAAACATGCAAGAAATTCTTATCATCTATGTTACAAAAATTACTTCCTTTATCTTTGTTTCACTATGATATCTAAGGAGTAAGGACTATCCAAAGTTAAAACTTTTAGTTGAATTCATTGGTCTATTTTCTTTAGATGATCACACTATAGTCACATGAACATTATTTAGGAATGCAAATTATGAGGCTGGTCAACAATTTAAATTTTTATTACTATTATTTAAACTCAATTTCAATTAAAAATACAAGTTAGGGATTAGTTCATCAAAGTTATTACTTCTTTTCCTAAGTCATAGTGATAATTTATCTATTTTGGGAATAGTTTATAAAAACTCTTATGTTGATACACCATTACAAAATTGGATAGCTGGAAAAAAAAAGACGTCTTCTTAAAGTAGCCAGATCACTTATATCAATTACAAATATTCTTAAATAGTTATGGAGGGAAGCTGTTCTAATAAAAACATATCTCATCAATAGAATGCATTTTCGTATTCTTAAATTTCTACTTCTTGTCAAGAATTCCTAAGCTGCTACCTAAAAGCTTGAATTATCTCGATACATAGAAGTATTTCGGTGCTCTACATTTGTTCTTGTTCATTCACAAAATAAGAGTAAACATAATCTTAGGCACATCAAATGTATATTCCTACAATATACCACTTATTAGAAAGTATATAAGTGCAGTTCTACCATTGCAAAATTTTTTTTATAACTTCATGGATGTTACTGATGAGGACAATTTCGACACATGTACCATCAGGAGACGCCGTAGATCGACGGCCACGATCATGAGTTTTATTTTGAGTCATTTTATTTAGTAGTTTATTTTATTTTTCAGTTTTTCCGCTTTTGCCCTTATGGGTATTTGGTCGCTATTGTAGCCCAAGGGGCATTTTAGTCTTTTGTTTTCTTTGTCATTTTGAGGCCTATATATATGGCCATTTTCTTATGTAATGGGATGATTGATGAATGAAAATTTTATACTCTTATGTTCTCTTTGTGAGTGCTGGAAGATCTCTTAGTGAGTTCTTTATTTTGTGATCTCTTTGTGAGTTCTACAACTTTCTAGTTCTCTTAGTGAGTGCTCGGAAGAGAACCGGTAGATCTCTTTGTGAGTTCTATTGGTTGACAGATTGAAGATCTTTTGTTCAAATTACTTTATTTTCTTCTTCCACCTACCTCCCTTCCACCACAAGAAAACCCCATCTAAAAAAAAAAAAGAAAACCACCCTAGCCCTCTTGCCGCCGCCCCCACCCCCTTGGATTTCAGCCACCGGCCACCCTCACAACCCCGGCCGCCCACCTTGCCGATGGCCTTCTTCTACCCGGCCAACCCCTCTCTCCATCAATTTCAAATTTGAAATTTGGAATTCAAATTTTAAATTATTTCCTAATTTGGAATTCCAAATTAGGTAAGTTCCCATGATTGAATCCAATTTCAAATTAATTTAATTTGGAGTTTTTTTTTAAATCCTATTTCCACATCAGCAAACCAATTTGGAAACCCATCTCCTCTCTCCCTAACCCCCTCTCTCTCTAGCTATACCGTCGGTCCCCCTCTTGGGCTCCCCATTAATGAGTCAATTAACTCTCTTTCTCTTATTTGAAATCTAAAATTGATTTCAAATAATTTTCCCCCCAATTGCACTAAAACTGAAATTAATTTCATTTTTATTTTCCTCTCCCCTCTCTCTCTCCACCGTCGGCCTCCCCTATTGGCTCTCCCTTTGAGTGAGCATTAATTCCCCTTTTAATTTGGGATTTCAAAATTAGATCCCAAATATTTTCCCTCCTAAATCCCTTAAACTGAAATTAATTTCAGTTTTCTAACACAAACCTCACCCTCTCACCCTAGCTCTACCGCCGGCCTCCCCTCATCTCTACAACCCGCCGACCCGCTCTCCCTCCCATTGTTGAGCTTCTTATGGCGACCATTCATCTTCACCTCCATGTCGCATGGCGGATCCCGAGCTAGAATGGGGGCAAGCTTTAACATTCTTATACTAAAATCCCCAAGCAGTTTTGTTTCCATGCATATGTTTCACATCAGTTACCTTCTTTGAATAATAGCCATATTATCGCAAAATTGATACTTAAGGGGATAACTTCTCTCAATAATATCAATTTTGGAACATTACTCCTACAAAATATTACTATACATGAAATTTTCATGCTTACTAAGCTCAATCCAATGACTTCCCAAGTTACAATTGGGCCTCAGAGTCTTAGTTTTCATATTTTCTCTAGTCCAAAGGAACACCCCTCCTCTCAAAGTTCATCTAAACCTATTATTAAAAATTGTGAGATGCTTGTTTATTTTAGAAGAGAGAGAAAATAGAACGGAGTAGAGCACCAACATATCTTGAGCAAGGTCAATTGTCTAATTTGAGTTCATACACAGTTGGAAATTCTCAAAATAATCTCTCCTTTGAACTTGTAATGACGAATTGATTTGTGATAATCTTGATAACTGATTGCTTTTGAGAAAATGTGCGAGATCTTGCACTAATCACCATATATGTAACTTTGTATTTTATGAGAGATTTATCCCAGCTTCCATGTATTTGTTAGCAATATTAATTCGTCGCATGTTCCAAACTCAATTATTGAAGTAATTAAAATTATTGATTGGAAATATGCTATCTAGGAAGAGCTTCAGGCACTTGAAAAGAAGAAAAATGAAGATTACTGGTCATCTTCATCATCTTGACCAAGGGAGACAATCACCCAATGCTCTTGAAATTTCTCCCAGAACTGGGAATCTTCTCAAAGTGTAATTTGAGTTTTTATTCCAAAGTCTCACAACAACGGTTTGTTGTCCATCTTTGCAATCTGTAATAAATTGGTCAGCATCAGAAATTTGTCTCATTTTTGGAAATGGTAGTTGATCAACCAAACAAGAAATTGCTAAGCTATAAATAAACTTTAAGGGTTATATCTAATGAACCTGTAATTGAATATACCATGGAAACCATGCGTAGGGTACGCATTTTAGTAATTCCCCTTGCTTTTAGTCACTCATGTTTACCCTTCTCTTGTTTGAGCGTGTGGAGCATTCTTGTATTTCCAAAAGATTCTCCAAAATCTGCTCTTATAGAATGTATAATCCATCAGATGTAAATTAGATCTACTGAATTCTAGCCACATCTGTATCGCTTGCACTGTTCTCCTAACAATGCTAAGTTGATAGCCATGTTTGGTTTTTGTGTTTGCAGTTGGAGCTTGAATACTGTTGTGTGATTTCTGTGAATCGTCGTAGTGGTAAGAAGATGCAAAGGGTGTGGGTTCATGGGAAATTCCAGAAGCCCACTGTTGGCACATCATGATTGTCTTCCTCAGGTATTTTGCTACAATAATCGGTCCTTTTCTCATACATATCAGCATTCTATTGAAGTTAGCATTAAAAGAAGCATTCTGCTGAAATTTGCAGAGTTTGAATAACTGAATCTAGAACTTGGATTGTTTTCTGCTTTTTTCAATCCTCCTTGGGCTATCATTATTTACCAATTCAAACTTGTTAATAGTAACAAATCAAGTTAATTTTGTTGTTTCGGTCAAGTGCATGACTAATACTAAATAAGAACTGCATTTTATAAGGTTCTGTAAATTTAAAGTTTTGCAATTGTTTTTAGCATGAGAATTAAAATTAGGGTGAAAGGGCATTAATGCGACCATCATTTATAGAAGTAAAATTCTTGTGTTTTTTAAGGTTTTGCTAGATCAGATGAAATTAATTGAATGATGTGATGATGAAAAAGTTGAATTGAGGAAAATAAAATTATATATATGTATGTTACTTATATTATTTGGTGGTTCTGTGAAGATAGAAAAATTTAGATAAGCATTTTACCTATATTATTTGGGTTCTGTGCTTTCTACTAATGCTGATGCAGCTCTGGAAGATGCCAAGAAAAGTTGCAAGTGCTATCTTGAACAGCTATTAAATAAGATTTCAAGGAACTGTTTTAGAAAAACATAATCTGTGAAATCACAAGTTGTCCTATATATTGAACCAAAGTGTAAAGTTGAGTTGAATGAGAAGTTGCGTGAATATAAATCTTAGTTCTAGATGAGTGCCCATTAAGAGTTCGCAAGTTGCGAGAGATTAGTTGTTTGGTTAACTAGCATTTCTTATAGGGAATTAAAGACTGAAGACATTAAGAGTGTAAAATGATGGAGATGATTTATTTGACAACTGAAGGCATTCTGTATGCCCACTTATGATGATAGAAGCAGGGTCATATGTTTTCTATATTGGGTACTAAAAGTTAAGGTTTTTGCTATTGAAGGCATGATGAATGGGATTTTGTGGAATGAAATGACAAGTAGAAGCCATTTAGATTCACGGGTTATATTCTATTTAGATAAGGTATGCCAGATCACTATAAATTCTCTCGAAGGACATTTTGTCTACTCAATTTTGGTCCACCACTATGATTTTCTAACTTTGGAGAACAATTTCATTTAGACAGCATGATCAACAATAACAACAACATCAAGCCTTTGTCCCACTACGTGGGTTCGGCTACATGAATCCTTTTTTTCCATTGTATCATGTTAAAAGTCAAATTCTAATTTAAAACTAATAAAGAAAGATCATTTCTAATATTTTCTAACCAAGTCTTTTTAGGTCCGCCTCTATCTTTCTTAACATAGGTCAAATCTAATACCTCTATTTTCCTCGGAAGGCCGCTATTTTATGTGACCAAACCATATAAATGCGACCCTCTCTAATCTTATCTTCCACTGGAGCTACTCCAACCTTTTCACGTATGTGCTCATTTCGACAAACATAATCAATGAGACTTTTAAACAAGATGATGGTTTTTTATTGCTTTGGAGAAACCTAAAATATAGTTATCACTATGATCATTGGTGCCAATATATAAGAAAAAGTTTGTGAAAAAAAAAGAAAAAGGAAAACATTCCTAAAACAAATGATTAAAAGAATGGAAAAAAGTAAAAAAAAAAAAAGAAGAAGAAAAATAGATAAAATGTAATTAAAAATAATGTTAAAAAAAAAGGACAACATGCACTTGCCTTTTCAATGTCTAAAAGATGGGCCAGTTGCCCCTCGTTATAATTTAATATAAACATACATAGAGGCTGCAGGCAATGTCACCTATTTTGTAAGTCCTTAGGGGTCGATGTCCTCCCCCAACCAAAAATAAATAAATCAATAAATTCTTTTATGAAAACCCTTCCCACCTTCCCTTGTATCGTGCTCTTCTTTTTTCCTTTTTGTCTCTTTTCATCTCTCCTACAACCACACTATTTCCTCATTTCAATCTTTTCGTATCCCTCTCAATCTCTTTGGCTTAAGATTATATCATTATAGAATAAATATTGAGTTAATAATAATGTAATATATCTGGATTTAAAAATTATAATTATCAATAAATATTTTTGGAAAATCAATTGATACTTAGGTGTTATAGATCAAGTAGCTTTGCTCTATTATACAAAAGTCTATGAATATGTATTAGGATATAATTTCTACTGTTGATCTTGAGTGATCAGAATTAAGAAGTGCACTATCATAAGATTGATATTAACTAAACTTTGAACAAGGTTGGCTTGACTCGAAATTGTGATTTATGTTGACTTGAAAGCGGTATCATTCGAGTCATTTGAAATTGATTTGAGTAAGCTCAAAATTTATTTTTGAGGAAAGTCAAATTTCTAGTGAGTTTTAAACTATTTGAGGTTTTGATTATACAATGAAAAAATATATCAATAAGACTTAGCTAGTGAAATTTTGTATAATTGCAATTTTGCTTGTTTAATTTGAGTTGCATGAGAATGTTAAAATAACCAAGTGGTGAAACTAAAAGGAGTGGAGATATGATAATAGTAAAAGGATGATGTGAACAACATCTATTAAAATTAAAATAGAGGAAATTAAATAATATGATTTGTGTAATATGTATGGTAGAAATTACACGAATGTGATTAATAAGATGGATAGATAAAATTATTGTGGAAGGATTATTTTAAAAAAGGGTAGACCAAAGGTCAGATAACGACATGTGAAATTTTTACTTCAAAATAAACTAACACCTGATATCTGCTATATCCATGACTGCTTCCAATTTGGTGAGGCGGTATGAAAATGAAATCATATCCTGTTCTTCATCTTAGTCTATCAAGCCTCTCTTTACTTTTGATATATTTTCTTTTAACTTTTTCATTAATTTTCCAATTCAGGGAAGCGGTACACTGCAAACTGCAAACTACAAACAGCTAATTCGAGCTAAACGCATCTAACGATCTTCAAAATTATCAAAGCCAAGGTATAACACTAAAACTTTCCACAGGCCAGAAGCCTGAAATCTAAATATTTTACCATTACAAGCAAAGAATTGGCTCTACCAATGAACTTCCTGGTAGTGATTAGATGAACCATATTCTATTTTGATGATTTTGACTTTTTGTAGTATTGCTTGTGGTTCTTTTAAGCCTTCTGACCCCATAACTTGGAGTGTTTTTGTCCATATGCAACCTATAGCACTCTTTGTTTGTCTTCTAGTGAATGAAGAGACGATCAGACACCCTCTCACCCATAACTACATTAAAAAAAAAAAAGCTTTGAATTATGGACTTATTCTTCTCAAACTATAGAGAAGAGAATCATTTGTCACGCTTCCCACTAAAAATTGATAATAATGATTAGTACAACAACAACATCAAGCCTTTATCCCACTACGTGGAGTCGGCTATACGAATCCTTCTTCTCCATTGTGTCCTATTAAAAGTCAAATTCTCCATAGAAATGATTAGTAAACAGTGATATTTTATGTTTAAAGAGAAATTTTCATATATAGACCAAAACATGGAAGTGTTAGATGTTTGTTTTTGTGAAAATAAGAAAATTGCATATATCTTTGAAAGTAAGGTAATTGGCTCAGGCATTGCAATTGTGGCAGTTTTACAACATGAAAGCCACGATAGGTCTTTGCCAATTTGTTTCAAATGATCTCTTTCTTCCATTAAAGTTGAAAAATGCAAAGTTTATTGTCATAGAAGTTTGTTCCATGGTTTAAAATTGCGCAATATGAGGCTCGCCTTGAGGCCCGCCTTTGCGCAATTCCAGTAAAAAACGCCTCGAGTTTTTTTTATGAGGCTTGCGCCTCAACTTTGTTGAGGCCCGCCTTGCCTCACTGGAATGAGGCTTACGCCTCACGCTATATATATTAAAACTTATATAAATCTTGAAGCAAATGCCCGACATTGGACTCTATAGGAGAGGAGAAAGGGGAGAGAGTAGTCCATCACTCCATCATAATGATGATTCAAATGAAGAACCCCTTAGTGATGACAGTGTTGATGACTTATGAGTTCTTATGTGATATGTCATTGCTATTTGTTTTTGGAAATTGGAATTATATGTTAATGAAAAGAATACTGGGATTTGGGAAAGATAGAATTTTGAGTTGAACTATATTTCATGTTGTCTTATTATTGGGATATTTTGAATTCAATTCATATTTTCTACTTTTTATGTTTTATATTATTCGCTCATTAGTATATAAAACATTTATCATTTTATGTTTACGCAATCTTTTAATTTTGAGGCTTACGCCTCAAAACGCCTTGAGGCTTACGCCTCGTCTCACGAATGAAAAACGCCTCAATACCCGAATACGCAATTTTAAACATTGGTTTGTTCCTTTATAAAATCTTGATCAACGAAGGTTACAAGTTGCCTTTTTTAAAATTTTTCTTGCAGAACTACTCCGCCTGAAGATCTATGGGTTTTTGCCATGCCAAACTTATTTTGCTTGTGAGTCTTTTCCTTATATTTCCAAACTAGAATTTCTTTTATAGAAATTTATACTATTAAGCCTTAAGATTTCTAAACATGGTTGATCATTGATAGATGTTTCTTTTGGAGCCTTTAAGTTCATTTATTCCATTGATTCAGTTGTTTTTGCCAAGTAACATAAGCTGTAAAGTTGTCAAAACATTATAGAAAAATGCTTGCTTAGCTAGTAGTTAGAATTTTTAAATATTAGAAATGACTTTTTTTTATTAGATTTAAATGAGAATTTGATTCTTAACATAACAATGGAGAAAAATGATTCATGTAGCCAATCTCATATAGTGAGATAAATGCCTGATGTTGTAATAGTAGTAATTAGAATTTGTTGTGATTTGTTGGTAATATGGTGCTGCTTCTATGAAGACTCAAGGGTGCATGTGTTTGGGACAGCTATAACTTTTTCTAAGGTGATTGTAAAATTGTTTTGGAGTAAGTAACTTTTTTAAAAAGCTATTATAGAAAATAGTTTTCTAGCACAATTTTAAAAAAAAATAGTGAAAACATAATGGTTAAACAAAAATTATGATTACATCATAAAAATTAAAATAATAAGAAATATGTCCCAAACTAATGTTAGGGGTGAGTGGAGTAAACACCATAATGACGACACAAGCAAAAAAGTAAAAGCGGGGGAAAGTAAAGGATATTAGGATTTAAAGTGGAAAAATTCAAAATAGGGAAAAAAATCACGGAGTCACACCACACCAAAAAATTCACTATGAAATTAGGAGAAATAAGTACAGATCTCTCCTCTTTCATTCTCTCCTTGCATACTCTTCTAATATGTATCGTTCTCACTCTTGCCTAAACTAAAAATACCAAAGAAAACCAACTAAAATAACTCCAAGAGACGCAACCCTTTAGAAAACGAGAAAAAAAAATTGTCTAGTCCGTCTTGCAGCGCTGCGGTGCGAGTTTGAAGTGCTACAGCGCTCAAGCCTCTGTCTTGAGCTGCTGCGGCGGCATATCTAAGCCGCTACAGTGCTTTGCTCTATGTCATTCAATGCCCGGGCTCTTGGGTACACAACAGCAGAACCCAAGCAGGGGATAAACCCCTTGCACCGCCAATGTTCACAACAAGCTTTTAGATCCGAGATAATAGAACAACCCGATTAGTCAACACAATCAGATTCCAAACATAACAACAAAATCTCTCATCAATTATTCTATAAATGATTTTAATTTTTGAATTTGATTATAAAAAAAATGTGGAGGATGTTTTTTTCTGCTTCAAATGAACTTGACTTTCCTTCCCGTGATGCACTTGTCCACCATTCTCTTGTGAACTATTTTTTTAATAATCTGTTCCAACACTAGTTGATTAATAGGATGGTCCTCAATTAGTTTTCTTTTGAAAGCAAAAGCAGGATTAGCAGCGCAATTAATTAACAGTTTTTCTTGTTAAAATGGTCCCTTTTTTGGGGTTCTGATTTGATTGGTTGATTTCTTGAATTCAAAGCAGTGATGAAGGAAATTGTTGCCAATATTAGGCTCTCTTTTTTAATATTGAGTAGCAATAGGGTCACGAGAACTTATTGGTAGTGGGAAAACACCACAGAAGTTATTGTATAAAAAGATTCAAACTTCAAAGACATCAATTTTAATTCATGTGAAATGTATTTAGGATAATTTTTTTTTACTTTTTTAAATTGTAATTATAGTTTTTGTTTAGTTATTATTATTATTATTTTTTTTAATTATGCTAGGAAGTTGCTTTTCACATAAACTTTTAAATAAGTTATTTTTCATATAATAATTTTATAATCATCTTTACAAAAAGCTATAATCGTCCCAAATTGGCTCTTAGGTTTCTTTTAGGGCAGTTTTCTTACTATTTCTTAAAACAATTTTATATTGCAAAATTTTATTAAAGCAATTTTTTAGTGCAAGATTTTAAATTTTGTAATAGAAAATTGCTTTAAGAAGCATTAAGAAAGTCGTCTCAAACAAAGCTTTAGTCAAGTTGGCTAATGCATTTTTTGAATAGCTTGTTAGTTGAATTTGATGAATAAATTAATCAAATTTGATTCAAGTAGTCAGCTTGAGTTGGCTCATTTAATGTAAAATATAATCAAATTATATTAGATTTAAAGGTTTTAAACAAATGTATCAAAATATTTAGAAATCTATATTTATTATAACAAATACTTTTTTTATATTTTATTTTGGATTTTTTAAATTATTTTTAATAAAAAATATTTTGTATCAAATAAAACAGGTTAAACACCAAAGAAAAATAATTATGAAAAAATTATTTGTATTTGATAGATAGTTTTTTTTTTCATTTTTTAAAATTTTTATCTTAAAAAGATATTTTGGAAAAAATATTTTTAAAATTATGATTAAGAAAGAAGCTTTTAAAAAAATTTAAAATTTATACCATAATCTCAAACAAAGACTTAAGCTTTGCAAATTCTTCGAGGTAACTATAAAATATTATGCTAAATAAAGCTCATCATGTGAATCCATGTGAATTTTGATTGAAGGGCACCACCACACCTACTTAGTTTAGAAAAATCAAAAAAATCTTACTGATAATATTCAAAAGCTAAGGGGTTTCACTACTGATCTAATTGAATGATCTCCTTAATGCAAAAAAAAAAAAAAAAAAAAAACATAAAATAATAGCTAAACAGTCACAAAAATTTAAAAGTGATACATCTTTAAAACATACAAAATGAATGGTTAATTTTAAATGATAGAGTGTTTTAGATTCATCCTAAATCAAACATGACTGATTTTCTCAAGAAAAAATAATAAATAAATAAATAATAGAATAAAATGAATGATAGAATGTGGTTGAGATAAAGTGCTTGGTTTACCTTTCAACTTACCATATTTGGGTAACTCCGATTCTCTTATCAAAAATTTTAATGGAATTAATTAAGTTTAAATTATATTTTTTATTGTCCAAAATGAACGTCAAATATTGGTGAAATACAAAAAATTATGCATCTCACCTTGGTCTGTTGGTTGGGAGCTTTGACTATCAGTTAAGAGATTTTGGGTCTGAATGTTGCGTATGTAATGCGTGTTGGAGTTCGACTTAATTGTCCCAAATGTACCAAAAAATAGATAAATTATTTTGTGCGATCATCGAACAGTGTTCATAGGCGAATGAGAACGCAGCACATCATTTTTTTGTTGTGTACCGCTCGATACCGGATGACGTGGCATATTTTGATTCGCCTCTGGACCGTTCGTCGACCGCACAGAATAATTTCTCCAAAAAAATAAAAATATTCACATGGACATGAAAAATTAAGCCTTGTCAGCATGGCTTGTTTTCTGCTAACCAGACATTGCATGATGAATCTGAAAGATGAAATTTTACATGAAAGAGACAATAGAGAGGGAGAAGCTTGGCATTATTTACAATTTAAATATATTTAATTGCTGTGAATAAAGTAATTTTACATTTCAGTAAGAACACAAAAAGGCTTTTAGTTTTTCAAATTCAATTGATCAATATGAGTGTTTAATAGGCTTTTATTCACTTTATAGTTTATAACAAATCGAAGAACCATCGAAGGTTCCCTTGCAACTCTCTAAGGTCATTCAAGTTGAAAGATAATCCCATAACAAATATTTTAAAAGTTCTCAGATATTGAATGGACTCCCCAATAGAGAAAATAATAATGACCAAGAGATCACATATGCCCTTCTCATAAACCTTATTGGTACCAACGATAATATCAATCATCATATAAGGGCATCTCCAACCGAGAATGTGATTTTTCACGGCAAAATACAGCAAAACTCCAAAATGTCATAATTCTGCTCCAATCGAACTCCATTTTAGGTGCTTCTGCGAAGATAACGATTCTTCTCCCCTTTCGTGCATTTTTTCGCCAAATCCGATTGAGAGAGCAAAATAGCATGGGTGAACAGTGCAACGCCAATATTGACGTCGCACTGTTCATCCGCAAGTAAATGGCAGAATATTTGGCGTTCGGCTGGAGCAACTCAATTAACGATGTCAACGCACGTTTGGCGTTCGGTTGGAGATGCTCTAAAATTAATCTAATTATATCTTTATGGAGATTTAGTATGTTGATACATAAAGTAACTAAAGCCACTCAAAATCTTCATCAATTGGGGTTCAATCCATATACTTTCATTTCCATCATTCAAAAAGGACATAATTCACTAGCAAAATGCCTTCAAGTAAATGAAGAGATTAAGTATTTGATTCAACGATAATTGGGTCGCTCTTTGCAAGACTGGTTCGTAAGCCTTCAATCTCATGAAAAAGGAGATCAGAAGGCCCGGAGAAATAATGTGGTCGGGATCATTATGCTCAAGGATATGCATCTAAAGGACATGGAAGTTATCATTATCACAATTTACTAAATAGAATCTAAGAAACAAGACGGGTCAAAATTGAATTTGAAACTTATTGGAATGATTTTAGGCTATAGTTTGTTAAATTAATGTGTAGGTAGCTTACTTTGGTATTTGCAAGTAGGTAAGCTAACATTGAGATGAACATCACAACTAAAAATAGAAAAAATTCAATAGAAATAAAAGCAAAAACCCTAATAAAACTCTTTCAACATACTAAAATAGCTTAAATAAAATGCATATACTTTTATGGCAAAAAAAAAGTTCTCTAATAAGACAATTTTGTCCTATATTAGTGTTCTTTTTGCAATTTTCATTATTATTTGTTTTCTTGAACTTTTCTTTTTATTACAAAATTGTATTTTCAATCTTATTTTACATGAAATTTAATTTTTTTAAGAGATTCTAACATTTGACCACTTTATTAGGTCCAAGCATGGAAACTACGAAAAACATATTGCCAAATTTGTATGGATTAAACATGAAAAAGCACTTTTTAAGATTTTTTAATAACATTTTTAAAAACTATTTTGTAAAAAACTTAAAGTATTTTAAAAAGATATATATGTACTAAGATAATATTTTTTATTGAAAAAATAAAAAGAAAGCTAATATATATATTTATTCACAAAAAAAAAAGATACTAAACAACAGCCACCATTGTTGTCAATATCCTTTGAATGTAGCAAAGTTGATAAAATGCCACTAATCACATCCTTCTTTTTAATTTAATTATTTTTTTAGAATTTTTATTTATTATTTATTATTAGAATAATGAAAACTTCATATTAAAATCTAAAAGTTGTTATATATATTTTCAATATAGGTAATATGAATGAGGATGTCGACCTCGACCCTGAAGTTCGTCGAAAATACCTAATACCTAATTGTTCAGTTTCAACAATTGTTGCTTCTTTCTCATACTCTACTACTAGCATTCTAATCCCCCTTCACAAGCTACTCTCCCTCCTCACCTTTGTTCTGTTGTTTCGAGTGAGTAGTGTGTCTTTATATCTACACGTCTTGACTCCAGAATTAAGCGGGATTTTTGGAATTTTGTTGAAGCGCTTGGCGGACGGCATACAGCTATTTACCGTTCGGCCGTGGAAAGCGTTTGGCGGATGGCATATGGTTGATTACTGTTCAGCTATTTAAATTACAGATGTTTGACAAATCAATCCTATGCTCCTTATTCAATCATTTTCCAATCAAGAAAGTATTCAATATAGAGAAAGATCTGTTGTCTTCAAAAATTCATCTTCAGAGTATTTCAGCTATGTACCACTTTATTGGCCCTTCCATTTGCTGTTTAACTATGGAGAATTCTGTTTGTACTCCACAAATAACTCCTTAAACCACAATTGCAAACAGATTTACTTACTACTCTCCTTCAGATAATAGAGATTAAATCATTGATTTATTCTTTCATGCTCTTAACTAGGGGTGCAAACAAGTCGAGTTGAGCTCGAGCCAGAAGGTGTTCGAGTTGAGCTCAAAATCCAAGCTCGACTCGTCTAATGTCGAGCGGCTCGACAAGCTCATTCCCGAGCTCCACTGACGATCTTCGTCCTGAGTAGGCTCGTCGTCGCCTCTGTTGTTGTCCTGAGTTCCATCATCCAGAGCTCAGCCACCAAAATCCGTCGCCTTAAGCTCATCGTCATGTCCGCTGTCGAGATCCATCGTTTCAAGCTCGTCGTCACGTCCGCCATCGAGATCTGTCGTCCCGAGTTCTGCTGTTGAGATCCATGTGCTTCGTCATTTTGGTTTTCCCGCCTATCCTTTGAATCATTTTTCCCACCCAATCACCTCTGTGAGCCCCTCGACAAGCTGGTGAGTCAAGCGGATGTATGCGAGCTCGAGCTCGAAATCACGTTTGAGCTCGACATGCGAGCTTGGTAAGCTCAACTCGTCGAGCCTGTTATCCAGTCGAGCTCGGGTCAGCTCATGAGCCGGCTAGACTCGATTTCACCCCTACTCTTAACAGAATGCAATGGATAAAAATGATTCATGTAATCGAACCCAACATAGTGAAATAAAAATTTATTGTTATTGTTGATTTATGTGCGCACTTTTTCCTTCATAACAAGAGTGGAACTATGAAGATTGCCCACCTTGAAATTTTATTTTTCTTATAAAAATTTAACTATTTTGCTCACCATCAATAAATACAATTGCCTAAATTTTATGAAAATATTTTTTTTTCATATATAAAATTATGCATTTTAAAATCTTATTTTGCTCGTCCTTTTAAGAGATTGACTTTATAATCCTAAGATAAATCTAAAATTAACCATATATTTATTAAGCATTTCTAAAATAATATATAAAAATTATGAGATTCATCCTCATGAATTTTGGTCGGATATCTTTGACTCACTTTTCCCAAATATAAATGACTTCATATTGAAAACCAAAAAAAAAAAAAAAAACATATTTTTTTCCAAATTAACTATAAGGCGGCGGCCGGCCATGAGCCGCCCAGTTAAAGCCGCTATCCAACTGCCCGGCGCCGGGCCCCATACTCGTCGGCACGCCAAACATTCCCGGCGGTGCCGTCGCCGCCGTAATCATCTCAGAACTATCCGGGATCCCGCCGCCTAAACCCGTCTCCGACCTGCCGCCATCGTCCTCCATGGGCAACCTCTCATACGTCGAGTTCGAGAACGTCGCTGCCACCACCATAACCGGCCCCGCCGCCACCAACGACCCCACCACACTGCCTCCAACCACCTGCCCCTGCCCACCGGCGAGGTAAACCGTCAGACCCGTTGACCCCGGCGGAGACGGCCCAGGCAAAAACGTTCCGGTGAGGGCGAGAATCTCAAACCGTCCGTTAAGCGCGAGGACGGCGCTCGGAGCGGAAGGCTGACGGAGAATGACGTTAGCAACGGCGCCGGCGCCGCTCAGCACGGAGACGCCCCGCTGGCGGCGGCGTGCGAAGTTGGCGATGGAATCTGCCACGTCAGCGCCGCTGGCGACTTCCATGACGTGGCTGCGGAGAGCGTTGGGGCTGTCGCGGGTGACGATTATTGGGGGTTTTGGTTTATTTTTGGAGCCTTGAGGGCGGCCCCGAGGGCGGCGGCCGGCAAGGTCGACGGCGCCTTCTCTGGGCTCATCGGCAGCGTCGAGGTCGTTGTCGGTATCTTCCTCGGCGTGGGGGAAGGTGGTGGTGGGGAGTTTGAGAAGGGGGGAGGAAGAACCGGCGGTTGGGTCTAGGCCGGAGAGGCCGAGGTGACCGGTCCACCACGGGGTCGCCAGTTTTCTTCTTTGTGGTTATGGCTTGGTGGTTAGACGAACGGCTTCTCTGTTACTTGCTGTGGATTTATAAGTCGTCAGGGGAGAAACGGCCTTCTAAAATTAAAAATTACATAATAATAATAATAATAGATATATTATCAAAAAAATAATCTTGATTGGGCACGAATCTCAAAGCAAAAATCAAGTTGGAAACTTCAAAAATCCAATTTCAGCAAAACTTATAGTCGAACTGAACGTCTCGAAATTACGAACCCAATGACACCAAATTCGACCCAATCCAAGCTCAAATGGGTCCAAATCAATGACCCGATGCGCATTTGGAAGGTTCAATTCATAATTTGGATTACCAAACATTTTCCAAATGTGGTGTGCTTATAGTCAAATTGAGCGGCTCAACGAGACAAATCCAATGAATCAAGATCATCGAATTTTGATATCATTAAGACATTCAAATGCTCACTAAACGGTCCATGATCAAGGGACCAAATCACTCCCAATTTACTCTTGATCGTCCTCTTATTTACTGGTCATGCCTCTCTTAGAAAATTATAAATATACTCCTCATTTCTCATGAGAGAGATCCCAAGCAAAAAAGAGAGAAGAAGGAAATAATGAAGCAAGAAGAGAATGAAGAAAAGTAAGAGAGCTCTATCACCACCAGACTCATCGACTACCACCGGACTTCTGCTTGACAGCCGATCGACGCTAGAGTTCTGCTCGACCGCCGACTAATGCCAAAGTTCTACCCAACTACCGACCGACGTCAGAGTTCTGCCAGACTGCCATCTGACGCCAAAGTTTTGCTCGATAGCCGACTAACATCGGATTTATTTTCGACTGTCAACTGATATCAGATTTCCGCATGACCACCAACTATCGTCGAATTCCCGATCTCCATTTTTAATTGGATTTCAACCTAGCGGTTGATTATTGTTGATTTCATGCAAAAATTATCTTGATCGGGCACGAATCTCGAGGCAAAAATCAAGTTGGAAACTTCAAAAATCAAATCCGGGAGCACTTGAACTTCGATTTCAGCAAACTTACAGTCAAACTGAGCGTCTCGGAAATACGAACCCAACGACACCAAATTTGACTCAATCCGAGCCCAAATGAGTCCAAATCAAGGACCTAAAGCGCTGTTGTAAGGTTCGAACCACAATTTGAGTTACCAAACGGTCTCCGATTTTGGCGATCTTATAGTTGAATCGAACGGCTCGACGAGACGAATCCAACGAACCCAAGATTGCCAGATTCCAACATCACTAAAGCCTTCAAATGGCTGATGAACGGTGTATGATCAAAGGATTCAATATCAGCCGTCCATTTAACCACTCCCTGTTCGCCCCTGATCTCACACATATTTACAAGTCATGCCACTCCAGAAAAACTATAAATATAGCCCTCATTCTTCACAAGAGGGACTCAAGTGAAGAAAGAGAATAAGAAGGGAAAGGGGAAAAGGAGAATCCTCTCCTCCTCGACCACCGCCGAAGCTCTTCCAGCTGCCTGAATACGCCGGAACTCTGCCGGATATTCGAGAGAACGCCTGAATTCTGCCCAACTTTCATGAGATGCGGAAATTCTTCTCAATTAAGGATAGAGTTCCCTCCTGACGCCGAAACTCCGCCCAACTGATGTCGAAGTTCTCCTCGTCCACCAACAGACGTCGAACTTCTACCCGCCACTTGACCTTCACTCTTCGCCAAGTTTCTACCCGACGCCGGACTTCTACTGGTTACCGGACTTTCGCTGGACGTATATCTGAAGATGGATTTCTTTTTATTGTTGGACTTCTACCTGACGTCGTCCTTCTGACCTTCATCGCAGACACAGTCCTTCCAGCCTCCGTCGCAAGGCAACTGTCTTTCTGACCTCTGTCGCCCGCCGACTACGGTCCTCCTGACTTACGTAGCCCGCCAACTACAGTCTTTCCGACCTTTGTCGCCCGCTGACTACGGTCCTCCTGACTTACGTCGCCCGCGGACTACAATCCTTTCGACCTCCGTCGCCAGCCGACTACGGTCCTCCTGACTTACGTCGCCCACTGACTACAAGCCTTCTGACCTCCGTCGCCCACCGACTACGGTCCTCCCGACCAAACGAATATTGACGTGATTCTTTGTATTCACATCATGTAATGTACTCTATAAAATGTACATCAAGCTAAGGCCTTCTCCCAAGGAAGGGACTCATTTGTAATCGACTGCAATACTAGTGGATTCATTCAAACTGGGCTAGGCCCCGTGGTTTTTCCCCCTTTTAAGGGTTTTTCACGTAAAAATTTTAGTGTCTCATAAATGCTAGACTCTCTCTTATCTGATTGTGTGCCAGATTTTCGTACAATGCTAAGACAATAAACTTTATATTTCTCTACCGCTGCGGATACTCCTGGACGCAACAATTGTAATTTAATCGTCATTAATCTTGAGAATGAGTCAATCACTTATAATCAATTCAAACACTAGTGGAATATTTTTCTGCTCGGTGTGGCCCCGTGATTTTTACCTTTTTCAGGGTTGTCCACATAAAAATCATGGTGCTCTTTCATCTTATGTTTATGTGTTGGATATCCATATAACACTGAGACAAAAAATTCTAACTTTATCGTCGTGTATATTCTAGCCTACAATAATAATAATAATAATAATAATTATT